GTCCTGTCCTGTCCTGTCCTCAGAGGCACCCCTGTCCTGTCCTCAGAGGCACCCCTGTCCTGTCCTGTCCTGTCCTCACAGGCACCCCTGTCCTGTCCTGTCTTCACAGGCACCCCTGTCCTGTCCTGTCTTCACAGGCACCCCTGTCCTGTCCTATCCTCAGAGGCACCCCTGTCCCTGTCCTGTCTTCAGAGGCACCCCTGTCCTGTCCTCAGAGGCACCCCTGTCCTGTCCTGTCTTCAGAGGCACCCCTGTCCTGTCCTGTCCTCAGAGGCACCCCTGTCCCTGTCCTGTCCTCAGAGGCATCCTTGTCCCTGTCCTGTCCTCAGAGGCACCCCTGTCCCTGTCCTGTCCTGTCCTCAGAGGCACCCCTGTCCTGTCCTGTCCTCAGAGGCACCCCTGTCCTGTCCTGTCTTCAGAGGCACCCCTGTCCTGTCCTGTCTTCACAGGCACCCCTGTCCTGTCCTATCCTCAGAGGCACCCCTGTCCTGTCCCATCCTCAGAGGTGCACCTGCCAGAGCCCTGCTGAGATACCTGTTCCTCAGAAGCTCGCTGCATCCCTGCCACATAGTTACTTTCCTCTCAAATTTCAATTAGGAAAATGCTCTCTTTTTTGGTTGTTATGCAATAGATTAATTCTTAAAAATTAATACAAATAAAAGTAAAATTTATTCAGGAGGCTATCTGTTTAAAAAAATAACTCAGTGCTGTAGCTATTTATAGGCTAATTACAGATATGCTCATGTACACACAAAGTATTTATTTTATACACATTCATTTAAAATCTTGCTTTGCGATGGTGGTTCACGTGTGCTAAGCATTACTTCTAACGCATTTTAATAGCGATAATGACAACTACCCAGAAACTCCCCAGGTCTGACTGGAATCTCAGCCACCAGCAAGCGCTGTTCAGAGATGCTACGTGAGCAGTGGTGTCTCCAGACAGAGAAAGGATCCACATACCTGTCACATGTGTCCGTCGGCCCTGCAGAGCCCCGGCTCAGGCTGCACAACTCACCCGCACTAAGTCTGTGTCTCCTGGAAAATACTCATATTGTGCCAGTTTAAAAAGCAGAATTTGTTTTCTTTAAAAAAAAAGAAAAAAAGGCCAGAGTCCAGTCTCACTGCTGTGAGAAAGGAGCCACCTGAGGCTGAAACAGTGCCCGGTTCCTCCTTAACACCTGTATTAGTTAGTTAATAAGAAACCTTTACCTGTGAGTGTCCTGCGGAGTGCTGAGCATCCAGGAAAAGAGCCGTGAAGGGGACATTGAGGGGACATTTGTACGGAGGCCACTGAGGGGGTGACAGAGTATAGGCATGAGTGTGACTGCGAGCCGGACACAGCCGGGCTGCCCCGGTCTCCTCCAGCCCTCGGGTGCCATGGTTCTCAGTCTTCTGTGTGTAAAGTATCACACAGAGTGCTGCACACATTAACACTGCACACATTCACTTAGCACACTGCACACATTTATATAGCACACTGCACACATTCACACACCACGCATTCACACAGCACACTGCACACATGTACATAGCACACTGCACACACATAGCATGCTGCACACAATCACACACCACTCATTCACACAGCACACTGCACACAATCACTTAGCACACTGCACACATTCACTTAGCACACTACACACATGTATATAGCACGCTGCACACACATAGCACGCTGCACACATTCACACACCACGCATTCACACAGCACACTGCACACATGTACATAGCACACTGCACACATTCACTTAGCACACTACACACATGTATATAGCACGCTGCACACACATAGCATGCTGCACGCAATCACACACCACGCATTCACACAGCACACTGCACACATGTACATAGCACACTGCACACATTCACTTAGCACACTGCACACACGTATATAGCACACTGCACACATTCACTTAGCACACTGCACACATGTATATAGCACGCTGCACACACATAGCACGCTGCACACATTCACACACCACGCATTCACACAGCACACTGCACACACTCACTTAGCACGCTGCACACATGTATATAGCACGCTGCACACACATAGCATGCTGCACACATTCACACACCATGCATTCACACAGCACACTGCACACATGTATATAGCATGCTGCACACACATAGCACACTGCACACATTCACTTAGCACACTGCACGCATTCACACAGCACACTGCACACACTTAGCACACTGCACACACCTAGCACACTGCACATATTTATATAGCACACTGCACACATTCACTTAGCACACTGCACACACTTAGCACACTGCACACACATAGCACACTGCACGCATTTATATAGCACACTGCACACATTCACTTAGCACACTGCACACACATAGCACACTGCACACATTCACACAGTACGCTGCACACACTTAGCACACTGCACACATTTATATAGCACGCTGCATGATGCACTCTTCCATAACATTGTCAATAAGGTTAAACAGCTCAGGTCTCCTAAGTGTCAAGAAGGCAGCATGCATGTGCTAGCAGGTGTGAGCTCCCCCCGCCCCAGGGCTCATCATTCACACAGAACTTTGCAAAATGTTTTAAGCGCAGGTCTGGCCCACAGAATTTAGAGCCAACTATAATTATGTCACCTGTGAGAAAGCCAGGGCCGCCTTCTCACACCAGTGAGACGGAGGCACCATGTGACTCCTGACATACTCAATGTCTTGGCGCTCAGCGTCTGCTCTGTGTCCGCCAGCTGCAGAAACAGTGTCGAGTCCTCCCTCCGCTCTGGGCACTCATCCCCAGGGCCGTTGCGGCTTGCTCTCCCTGCCCAAGGGACTGAGAAGCGACCTCTCTGATGGTGGGCGTGGCAAGCAGTTCCTGATGAAACATTCATGGCATATTAGAGACAAATCTCTCTAGAGGAATTATATCAAATCATTGTTACTTTTACTGATGCTGTAATATGGAGGAATTTATCACAGCAAATAAAACAGAATGTCCCAGCAGAAGGATGCCTCTGGGACTGATGACTCTACCCCCAGCTGATTGGAAGCCTGAGCTCGCTCCTTCCCACACACTCAGAGAAGCCAGTGTCCCTGCCCTGAGCAGTCAGCAGTCTACAGGTACTTTCTCTTGAGGGCTTATTCCAGGGTGCCAGGCCTGGCACAGGCAGGTTTATGCATTTTCTTACCCAATCCTTAAAGTGACTCTGTGACATTTATCCCGTTCTGTAGAAAGGAAGGGCCACTGAGCTGGGTAACCTACTCAGAGACCTAGAAGTAGTAATAGGTAAGAACAGGAGCCAAGCTCACCCTCCCCAACCTGACGGCGCCCACCTGCTCCGCACGGCTATCTCCGCCGCCATCGGATTGATGAACCGCCCAGATTCTATATCAGAAAAGCAAAAGGCAGCCTTTTGTGAGTGCAGTTCATCTGTTGGCTTCCCTTTTCAGTTCTGACTGAATTGTCTGCATGAACAAAAAGTTGGCTCTTTTTTTTTTTATAAAATCATAAAGTAGCCTTTATGACAAGCATAACTACTTTGTCATTTTTACCCTAAGTCTTAAGCATATTTAGAAGAGAATGGCTCGTGGGTTTTTTTGCCAACTTTGCAATAAAATTTCTGCTTGCTGCTCCGTTTAAAATCAAATAACTGATTTTACTTGCCTTATACTATGTGTGTGGCTGCCATTAAAGTAAAGCATAATGATAGAGTATGTGTGTTTCTCTGATGTAGTTTGGACACATCATCAAACCTTTTAAGCAGAGAAAGTCCCAATAATGGCTGGATATTATAGAATGTTCTTGGAGTACTTTGTTGATTCCATGTAATTAGCCTCAAAACTCAGTTCACTCGTCATTAGATACTGAAAAGATACGTCAACCAAGGAGGGACACTGCCATTCTCTGCCTCCCCGACAGCTTGTTCTCTATAAGAACCAGTTTCTGACAGTGGTTTTTAAATTTCTGGGGTCAAAAAATAGTAGCTTGAACTTAAGCTTTTACCTCCTGTCCCACCCACTCCCCCGTAAGTGACAGTATGAAATTTTTTTTAAGGCAAAAGCCGTAAGGAAAAAAAAAAGCAGACAGCAGCAACCAGATTTGGTAAAGAAGATGGAGAAGGATAAATTTACCCAAGAAGTGAAGGAGAAGCCTGATTCATGCCTGTACTCCCCGTGACGAGTGTCTTCCGTCTCAGATGTAAACTCCTTAAGGGAGAAAGAGAGGGATCTTGGAAATAGGAAGATGGCCCCCTGCTTGTCTACAGCCTTAGAGGTTCAGGCCTCTCTGCACAGCCCTGTGTGTTAGCCCCAAGGTCACTGTGCTGTTCCCTGTGTTGCAAAGATGATGGGAGGCGGCCTTGCTGTGTTTTGTTGCCTGTTTTCAGTGTCACAGGCCATGTCAGTGGGACATGGACATTTTAAAGGCCAAAGGGAATATTGAGCACTGTGCTGTCACTAGCTGGGAAAATGCTGTGTGAGTTCATTGGCAGGTGCTAGAAAAGTGGTTCTTGTGCTAATAACACAGTTTTTATTTTCATCCCCGATGCCCAGAACAATTTGTAGTTTTGAAATACGACGTGACTAAAAATCCTGGATGTGCAAATATCTCTAGAGGAATTATATCAAATCACTGACTGAAGGTTTAAATTATGAATTAATTATATAGAATAGACTGTTTTGCATTCTTTGCTAGAAGCTAAGAATAATGATCGAATGAAGTCCCATTAACATTTACTGTGGGCTAATTTAGACAGCGAGTACGGTATTGGTATCTGTGTTTGCATTTCCTTTAAATGTTGTGTTAAGATATTAAGCCATCTGTTCATGTGTACAAATGTTTTCGTGGGATTCAGATGGGATTATGGAGTATGATATGGCTGTATGATTTTTATGGGGCGATCAGAGTGTTTACAATAAAATCTTTCTTTAGGGGCTTTTAATGATCTCTAAAAGGAAATCACCCCAGGCTTCAGGTTGGCAAAACATCTCTCCTCAGACACAAATTACATTGTATAAATTTTGGTATGGTTAATTTTAAGAAGCAAACCCCTAAATTAAATGTAAACTTTGTGAGTCAAGATGACTTTTGTATAAATATGGACTGTAATTCATTTCCAGGGCTAATTATTTGTACACTCATTTCGAATTGGTTTTCGTTCTTATCGAATGGAAATATCCCTTAAAAAATAGATCAAGCCCCAAACTTGCCATTGTGCAGAATAGTTTTATCTATAAACTCACTAAAAATTACATGTACGTGTGTACAATATCAGTATATATAAAAATTTAGTGAAGTAGCAACAAAGTATTCACTGCAATCAATAAAAGAGTCGAATTCCTAAACATCCCATAGCTTTCCGAGTATGAATTTATGAGCAGAATTCAGAGATTTATAGTCCATCAAGCAAAAGGTTTCCTTCTGGGGAAAAAAATGGGATCAGTGTTTCTGATCTACCTTCCCACCCAGTACACTTAGTAACATGGCGTATTTCTGTCTGCTGTGGCAGGAGTGAAGGCCAGGATGGAGGAGGGACCACGTGTCAGAACTGCTAAGGGACCCCAGTTGGCTTTGATACCCTCCTACTGGGGGGCCCACCCACCAGGTCCCCTCTTGAGAACCACAGATTAAAACAGATTTAAACTTGACGGCCAGTTCTCCAGCTGCAGATTTAGCATGACTTGGCTTTAGTGTTTGTCTTGTTTGAGATGGGGTCTCCCTCTGTCACCCAGGCTGGAGTGCAGCAGTATCGTCATAGCTCACTGCAGCCTCCAGCTCCTGGGCTCAAGTGATCCTCCTACCTCAGCCTCCCAAGTAGCTGGGACTACTGCCAGCTAAATTTTTTTGTAGAGGCAGGTTTTCACTATTGCCCAAGCTGGTTTTAAATGCCTGACCTCAAGAGATCCTCCCATCTTGGCCTCCCCTGTGCTATCTATGATTATTCACATGAGCCACTGCCTCCAGCCTGGTTTTTAAGTTTATAAATATTTTTTTTTTTTTTTTTTGAGACAGAGCCTCAAGCTGTCCCCCTGGGTAGAGTGCCGTGGCATTACAGCTCATAGCAACCTCCAACTCCTGGGCTCAAGCGAGTCTCCTGCCTCTGCCTCCCAAGTAGCTGGGACCACAGGCGCCCGCCACAACGCCCGGCTATTTTTTGGTTGCAGCCATCATTGTTGTTTGGCAGGTCCGGGCTGGGGATTCGAACCCACCACCTTAGGTGTACGTGGCTGGCGCCTTAGCCGGTTGAGCTATAGGCGCCGAGCCAGTTTATAAATATTTTAACACAAACAGATGGGTGTGGTGGCTCAGCCTGTAATCCAGCACTCTGGGAGGCCGAGGCAGGGGGATTCCTTGAGCTCAGGAGTTGGAGTCCAGCCTAAGCAAGAGTGAGACCCTGACTCTACTAAAAATAGAAAAATTAGCCGAGTATTGTGATAGGCACCTATAGTCCCAGCTACTTTGGAGGCTGAGGTAGGAGGATTGCTTGAGCTCAAGAGTTTGAGGTTGCTGTGAGCTATGATGCCAGGGTGGAGACAGAGTGAGACCCTGTCTCCAAAAAAAAAGTTTTAACAAACACATTTCTGTAGATATAATGTACATATTCTTTAATTTAGTTGCTGATTATCTTGCTTTGTATACAAACTCTACTTGCATTAACAGTTATGGGCTCTATGGTAGCGGGTAAATCACATGTATAAGATGTGATTATTCTCTCTTTGTTATTACAGCACCATCCAGCAGAAAACCAGGGGACCCCCTCGTCATTTCAGACATCAAGAAAGGAAGTGTGGCACACAGGTAGGGAGAAGGGGTTTCCTGAACTGACGTGTAGATGACCCCTCCACACCCAGGGCAGCCCTCGCTGGCGGGTCACTGATATCATCTTCCGGGCGGCCACTGTTAACTGACCACGCTCTGCAGCCCTGGTGGCCACAGCCACCCAGTTCTCTCCCCTCATCTCGATTTATTTCTGCACCCAGTGCAGACAGCAATCAGCTGAAAGCTTTTTTATAGGGTCTTTCCAGAATCCAGCATCTTCACTGGGCATCTTCCAGCCTTCATTTTCCAGCTAAAAAACGGAAAGTACCCAAATCATGAGAGATGCTCCTTGTGGGGATCGAAGCTTGTGAAGCATCTTACTGTACCGGAATTGCTCCCTGGGCAAGCAAGATCCTTGAGCCTTAAGCAACGTTCATGTCCCTATTTGGCCCATATACCACTAAAACTGGGGAGGTTCTGAGACTTTTTATTTCATAGATAAAAATACTTTTATATGATTGAGGGTACTGATATCAGACCATTAACTTTCTCTTTTATTTTCCAGCTAAAGACTTAAAAAATTCATTTTATTAAAGAAATATTTTAATGCTCAGAAAGTAGGAAGGGCATGGTATGTGTTTAGCTTGTAGGCATAGGCTCAGCAGCTGTGACAAAGAGATGTGTACAGCAAGAGACCAGACAGGACAGAAGTTTGCCTTTCACCTAACAGTGGGGACAGACGGTCTTGGCCAAGGGACTGGGTGTGCCAGAAGCCTTCTCACCATGACCATTCCCCACCCATGATGGGAGGTACAGAGAGAGGGCTGAGAGAGTCTAGGGTACCGGTTGTCAGGGGTCACTCAGGAAAAGGGAAGGAGAGCGGTTGCTGGGATGCAGCTTCACTCTCTGTCATAGCACTGACATGTAAGGACAGCCCCGCAAAGGTGTGCTTTCACATCTGTGCACACAGAAGTGCACACACACCACATTCTCATCTGTGCACACACAAGTGCACAAACATACCACATTCTCATCAGTGCACACACAAGTGCACACATACCACATTCTCATCTGTGCACACACAAGTGCACAAACATACCACATTCTCATCTGTGCACACATCACATTCTCATCAGTGCACACACAAGTACACACATACACCACATTCCCATCTGTGCACACTCAAGTGCACACACACCATGAATGTGGTTTAATTGCATTATGGACCTTTAAAACTGTCTACAGACCTGCACTGGTCCACAGCCAGGATGAGGTTCTCAGTGGCCACTTTCCAAATAGGTCAGGTGGCATGGGTTCATCTGGCCTTTTGTTCTCTACTCCAGCCACAGTGAATCTCCAGGAACAGGTGGAAATGGCAGAGACTCCAAGTCTCAGGCCTCCACCTACCTTCCCTTCCCTCACTCCTCAGCCCGCTTCAAGTGTCTGGACTGTCAAAAGTGGTGCAAAAACATGGAGACTCCAGCCTGGCATGTCCCTCCTGGGGTCCTGAGGCTTCCTGAGTGAGGTGTATATGCAAGTCCTGGTTTCTTTAGGGTTTTTTTTTTTTTTTTCAGGTTAATGTGAGGTTACAAACATCCAGGTGACAATATTTGAATTTGTTAGGTAGAGTCCCTCTTGTAGTTGTGTTCTGCACCCACAAGGTGACATACACCCCTACATGGTGCCCATTCAGTGAGAGCACTTACCCCTTCTCCCTCTCCCCCTCCTTGGTCCCCCCTAGCTTGAATTGAATTGAATTTTTCTCCTTTGTGTGCATACATCAGATCATCTACTGGCTTCATATTAGTATTGAGTACATTGGATATTTGCTTTTATTTTCTTGTGATTCATTACTAAGAAGAATGTATTTCAACTCCATCCAGGTTAATACAAAAGCTGTGAAGTCTCCATCTTTTTATGGCTGAATACTATTCCACAGTGTACACATACCACAGCTTGTTAATCCATTCCTGGGTTGGTGGGCATTTAGGTTGTTTCCACATCTTGGTGATTGTAAATTGAGCTGCTGTAAACAATCTAGTGCAAATGTCCTTATATAAGATGATTTTTTTTCCTCTGGGTAGATGCCTAGTAGTGGGATTTCATGGTCAATGGGAGGTCTAATTTGAGTTCTTTCAGGAGTCTCCATACTTCTTTCCATGGAGGCCCACCTGTATTAGTTTGCAGTCCCACCAGCAGTAAAAAAGTGTTCTCCTCTCCACATCCACACCAGCATCTGTAGCTTTGGGATTTTGTGATGTGGGCCATTTCCTTAGGGTGGACCTGATTTGCATTTCTCAGATGCTTAGGGACAATGAGCATTTTTCATGTTTGTTAGCCATTCATTTGTCTTTAAAGAATGTTCTATTCATGTCTCTTGCCCAGTGATAGATGAGATTATTTGCTCTTTTTTTATTGATTAATTTGAGTTTTCTGTAGATCCTAGTTGCCAAACCTTTATCAGATTCGTAAAATACAAATATCTTTTCCCATTCTGAAGATTGTCTATTTGCTTTGGTAGTTGTCCCCTTAGCTGTGCAGAAACTTTTCAGTTAAGTTCCATTTATTTATTTTTGTTGTTGTGGCAATTACCCCAGAAATCTTCATAAAATCTTTTCCCAGGCCAATATCTTCAAGAATTTTTCCCATATTTTCTTCTAGGATTTTTATCACTTAGATAAAATCCCTAGATTTTAATCTTTTATCAATCTTGAATCAATTTGTATGAGTGGTGAAAGGTGGGAGTCCAGTTTCAGTCTTTTACCTGTGGTTATCCAGTTCTCCCAGCACCATTTATTAAATAGGGAATCTTTTCCCCAGTATATGCTTTTGTTTATCAAAAATCAGATGACAGTAAGAGACTGATTTCACCTCTTGGTTTTCTATTCAGTTCCAAATGTCTGTGTCTCTATTTTTGTGCCAATACCATGCTGTTCTGATCTCTGAGGACTTAGTAATGCAGCCTAAAGTCTGGTAGAATGGTGCTTCCAGCTTTGTTTTCAGTACTAAGAATTGACTTGGCTATACAGGGTTTTTTTCTGGTTTCGTATGATATGAAGAACTATTTTTCCCTTTCTTAAAAGTAAGATGTTGGTATGTTAATGAGGATTGCATTGAATCTATAGATTGGTTTGAGTGGTGTAGACATTTTAATAATGTTGATTCTTCCTAGCCAAGAATACGATATGTTCTTCCATTTGATAATATCTTCTGCTATTACTTTTCTTAGGGTTTCATAATTCTCTTTGTAGAGGTCTTTCACCTCTTTTGTTAGATATATTCCTAGATATTTCATTTTCTTTGAAGCTACTGTGAAGGGAACTGTGTCTTTGATTAACCTCTCAACTTGGCTGTTATTGGTGTATACAAAGGTTACTGATTTGTAGACACTGATTTTATATCCTGAGACATTACTATATTTCCTGATTACTTCCAGAAGTTTTGTGGTTGAGTCTCTGGGGTTCTCTAATTATAAGATCATGTAATCAGCAAAGAACAAGAGTTTGACTCCTCTGCTCCCATTTGGATGCCCTTTATTTCCTTCTCTTGCCTCATTGTATTGGCTAATTTCCAGCACTGTGTTGAATAGTAGAAGAGATAGAGAACAATCTTGTCTGGTTTCAGTTCTAAGTGGAAAAGCTTTCAGTTTTACTCCATTCAATATTGTGGGTTTGTTGTAGATGGCTTTGGTCAGATTAAAAAATGTGCCAGCTATGCATATTAAGTGTTCTTGGTAGAAAGGGTTGCTGAATTTTATCAAACGCTTTCTCTGCATGTATTGAGAGGCTCGTATCCTCTTTGTTTTTGCTTCTGTTGATATGGTGAATTACATTTATGAATTTTCATGTGTTAAGCCAGGCTTTTATCCCTGAGGTGAAGCCTGCTTGATACAATGTATAATTTTTTTAATGTGTAACTGTGATCTATTAGCTAGAATTTTATTGAGAATTTTTGCATCTATATTCATTAGTGAAATTGGTCTGAAGTTCTCTTTTTTAGTTGGATATTTTCCTGGTTTTGGTATCAGGGTGATGTTTGATTCATAGAATGTGTTGGGGAAGATTCCTTCCTTCTCAATGTTTTGGAATAGTTTCTGCAGTATGGGTACAAGCTCTTCTTTGAAAGTTTTTAGAATTCCAGTGTGAATTCTGGTCCATCTGGTCCAGGCTTTTTTTGTTGGAAGATTTGTTATTGTTTCTTCCATCTCAGTGCTTAATTCTGGTCTGCTCAAAAGATCTATTTCTTCCTGGTTAAGTCCAGGGAAAAGTACAATTCCAGGTATTGGTCTATTTCCTCCACATTGTCAAATTTCTGGGGATAGAGTTTCTTGTAGTATTCAGAGATAATCTCTTGTATCTCAGTAATATCTGTTATATCCCTTTTTTCATTTCTGATTGAGATTATTAGAGATTTTACTTTTCTATTTCTAGTTAATCTGGCCAAAGGTTTATTGGTTTTATTTATTTTTTCAAAGAACCAACTTTTTGTTTCATTAATTTTTTGTTTTCAGTTTCATTTATACAAGTCCTGGTTTAATTGAAAGGAACACATGAAACAACATTTCCAATACTCTGCAGTATAATGTCCCAGCAGCCATCCCAAATAAGACTAGAAAAGGGGTGGGTGAGGTGGGGGTATCAGTAGGACAATTTAGAAACAGTGGGAGAGCCTCTCTTCCTCAGGCTACCTTGTACTCAAGTCTCTTTGAATTAGTTGACTGGTTAAGTGCTGCTCACCTACTTTGCATTTACCATCAGAACTGGAACCCTGGAACTTGGGGATAAATTACTTGCAATAGATAACATCCGGCTGGACAACTGTTCCATGGAAGATGCCGTTCAGATCCTCCAGCAGTGTGAAGACCTGGTGAAGCTCAAAATCCGCAAAGATGAAGATAATTCAGGTATTGACAGCATCCTCCATTACGGCTGATTATTCTAACTGCCCATCTGTCACCAAAGATATTAGCTCTTGATGTTCTGCATACAACAGCTGGCTGGTGACAATTGCAGCAGTGTGTAAAGTAGTTAAAGGTCTTTAAATTGTGCATTAAGAGTGTAGCACAAATTTTAAGTAATGGTGCTTTTAAATGATATAATGAAGTTATTTTCATTATAGAAACATGCTCATAATCCATTAAAATAATTTTTAAAAATGAAAACTAAGTCATCACCCAACACCACCATAATGCACTGGAAGGAATTGTTTAATAGCCTCTGCTAACAGTTATATTACACAGTTATAACCCTAGAGAATGTTATGTTTTTTATTTTACTTTATATATTTATAAACATTTTATCATTCAAAAAACCCTCAATATCTATGACTTTTCTTTACAGCCTGTAATTTATTTATCATGCTTCTCTAGGTAGGTTGCTTCTAATAGTTTTATTATTGTAAATAGTTAACTATCATAGTTATCTTTATGATAGATTTATTTATTCAATTTTTTTCTCTTTTGAATGATTTCCTTAGAAAATGTTCTTAAAAGTGGGATGGCTGAGTCAGAATAAAAAGGAAATTTTCATGATCCTTGTTAGTTTTACCTGAACAAGACTCTTGCTTTCTCAGACAGCTGTTTTGAGGGCATCTAACCATGTGTGAACACAGTGAGACTGTGTTCCTCAGACATCAGTGGGCCACAGATGCACCTGAGGAGTTTGTTTTGCCAGCTCCTGGGCACGGCCACAGCCTTTCTGGCAGGTGCTATGGCCATGGTCAGGGGCAGCCTGCAGAGCCCTGAGGGGCACCCTTTACTCTGGTGTGGTGAAAACTTGGAGCTAATGTTTGAGAGCCCATTAACTGGGAGAGTCGGGTGGTGTGAAGAGGCATAGAAATTTATAGATCATATCTCCAGATTATGAACATTTAATTTAAAATGTTGCCGGTCTTGTAGGCAGAGTCAAGTGTTCTAGTCCCATGATATATTCATAGATCATGAGTTCCAGGGTTGCTTTGTTTTATTTTTAGTATAGTGACAATTTAAAGAGATTAAAGCAATTTGAATGCTGGCTCCACCTAAATTTTTATTTTTTCAGTGTTTTAGATTTTTTCCTTTATGTGACTAACAGTAGATTTTCACCCAAAGACCACTTATTGGATATTTGCAAAGCACTTGATTTTGTTTTCATGGAACAACTATGCTCCTGCTTCACAGGTTGTGCAAAACGGATTGAATTAAATGGACATGATCACAAGCACAACTGGCATAAACAGTTGGGGATAAATACAGCTGAACACATGTGATTAAGTTTACAAATCTCTCAGGAGCAGGAAGCACAGGGCTAGAGAAAAAAACCTGTCATTTTGGAACATTCCACCTGCTGTCCAGATATTGCCTGATGGAGGATGGAGGGCCGCAGTGAATCCAATAAATGGGATAAGTGGAGATTGGTCTCAAGAGCTTCCACTGTGATTTTATCCCAACCAATAATGAATTATCAAAGTTCTGGAATCTCTCTTAATCAAATAGTCTAGATCTGGAGCTCATGGTCATGCCAGGCTATGTATGTATGATTCTATGTAAAAAACTCGGTAGTTATATGGATCAGCAAAATTGGTAGTGATGACTATCTGCAAATATATTTTATAAGCAGTGTTCAGAATTATGCATAGGTTTGTTTGTTTCTTAAGCAACTGCCTTTCTATGTCAGCATTTGCATTTCTCCCTGACAAGCCTGCTTTATCTCGACTCCTTTGGGGGATTGTTTCAAAAGAGGGATAAAGCCTCCAGCATCTGCCTGGTCTGTCCTGGTGCAGAGGCAGAGACTGGGGAGAAACCTATTTGTTTAATTTGTCCAGCTCAGCAGATTTCAGCCACTTTTCTTGCAAAGTGAAAAAACCATGCCAGGGCGGAAAACACCTAGTGTGAATGGCCCACTCTCAGAGCCGGCTGCACAGAGACCCATGTGGACCACACTCAGAGCTGGCTGTGTAGAGGCCCACGTGGCCCACACTCAGAGCAGGCTGCATATAAGCCCACATGGCCCACACTCAGAGTCGGCTGTGTAGACTGCATGCGTGGCCCACTCTGAGAGCCGGCTGTGTAGACAGCACATGTGGCCCACTCTCAGAGCTGCTGTGTAGAAAGCACGCATGGCCCACTCTCAGAGCCGGCTGTGTAGACAGCACATGTGGCCCACTCTCAGAGCTCCTATGTAGATAGCGCGTGTGGCCCACTCTGAGAGCCGGCTGTGTAGACAGCACATGTGGCCCACTCTCAGAGCTCCTATGTAGATAGCGCGTGTGGCCCACTCTCAGAGCCGGCTGTGTAGACAGCACGTGTGGCCCACTCTCAGAGCTGCTGTGTAGAAAGCACGCATGGCCCACTCTCAGAGCTGGCTCTGCAGACAGCACGCACGGCCCACTTTCAGAGCCGGCTATGTAGACAGCACGCATGGCCCACTCTCAGAGCCAGCTGTGTAGATGGCAGGAGCTTCAGAAGCAGCTGAGCACTGGACGAGCTGGATCTTATTGTCAACTGCTGATTTCCTTTGGCTCATTTTTGTTCACAGTATGGAAGGCAAGGGCTTGAAACATGAAGTGGTGCAGGGTCAGGGAGGGCGCAGCACAGTCTGGAAGGCAGGGGCGTGAAGTGTGGACGGTGCAGGGTCAGGGAGAGTGCGGCACAGTCTGGAAGGCAGGGGCGTGA